ACACACACACACACACACACAAACACAACAACATCAACAAACAAACTACGGGCTGCGCACCCGTAAGTCAATATAATGAAAGACGACGAAAAATGTTCTCAGGGGGCGAAAACGAAACCCTGACGGGCTGCGAACAAGTTGTGGAGAGTGTTTTCAGTTTCCTCGCCTGTGCACGGCGGTTTGTGGAGGGTGGTGGGTGGTCCACAGACAGCTGTGCACAGGCGAGGAAACTGAAAACACTCTGACCTCTCCACAAGACAACTTTCTGGAGAGTGCAGGGCTTCACGAGACGACATCAGTTAGACAATTTTTTTTTTAACTTTTCTGTAGAAGAAATCTAGTGACGAGTAAGTGCAACCAGGCCTCGAGTTCGACACGATTCTCATGTTTTTCACTGCCACGCATCGGCTGCGAATTGCGAAGGATGAAGAGTAGTGCAGACAGGACGGTTCCTCAACGACGTATCCTTGCCTGGTCCCGCATGAGGTATGCAGTGACCGCCCGTTCTCTGTGTGTTTGTGTGTGTGTGTGTTGCACGCTCGTTGTGCGCTGTGTGTGTGTGTGTGTGTGTTGCACGGTCGTTGTGCGCACGTTCTCACGTACAAAAATAGACTCTCTCTCTCTCTCTCTCTTTTTGTGTGTGTGGGTCTGTTCTACTCTCGTGGTGCGCATGTTCTCGCATACAGAAATAGAGTCTCTCTCGCTGTTGCATGCGCGTGGTGCGCACATTCTCTCATACAAAAATAGACTCTCCCTCTCTCTCGCTGTTACACGCGTGTGGTCCGCACGTTCTCACATACGAAAATAGACTCTCTCTTTCTCTCTCTTGCACACACACAAAAATACTCTCTCTCTCTCTCTCTCACCCACACACACACAAAAATACTCTCTCTCTCTCTCTCTCTCTCACACACACACACACACACACACACACACACACACACACACACACACACACACACAGACATGCGCGCGCGCGCGCGGGCGCCTGCTGTCACACAGTATTTCCTTGTTATCTTGTTGCTCTTCTGTCTTCGGGAGTCGAATACAGCGATCATTTTGGCGCGCATAAGATTGGGTCAAGTCCGCGCCATAGCCAGAGCTTCACTGCGAACGGCATGGTGAGGAGTGTGAGGACGAGGCTCTTGTCTGCGATCGGCAGCCCCGCCCTCGTCTATCTTTCTCACAGGAGAGAAGATGATGTGGAACAGAAGACCCAAACGTCCGAGGCAGTTCTTTTGGCCTGCGAGGTACACTCCGCGGCCTCTGCGCGCCACATTCGCTTCGTCTGTTCCTGTGACTGGATGCCCATCTTGCAAATGCGAGCACTTTGTCGGCCGCGCACGGCCATCGCTATCGCCATCGTCATCCGTTCCAAGAAGGGGTCCAGGCGACGCAAGTGGCTATACAGGACGACAGCGGGATCCCGACAGTCGATTTGCCCCCGACATAAACACAAAGAGATTGCCACGTCCGACGTGCGGATGTCCTGAGAGCCCATCTGCAAGCAAAGGCGGCAACCATAGCTATGTAATTGGTAACGTCAACCCTAATTCATTTGATGGAAGGAAGGCGGGGAAGGACTCCAGATGGCGCCACGTCAGCTCCTGCGGTCCGTCTTCTTCTCCAGAGAATCCTCCAAGGAAGAAGAGGAACGGCGGGGAAGACGACGCTGTTGCTATGGCGACAGGCGGGTCGGGGACTACTCCACCATATCCTACCTCTCCTCAAGAGGAATCGCTTGAGCTGCCAGGCTTCCTTGATTGGCCCCCACGCAACGATCCAGAGCTGCCCGAGATTCTGCGGTCGGCTTTTTCCCGACTACCAGCCCATTTGAAATCCACGCGCTATACCCGCCACCACGTAGACGATCGCGCGGGCAACGGTAATAATGATGATGACGTCAACGAAATGATCTGCATATGCGGGCACCCCTTCGGACCCGCCAACGGCGCGAGGGCCAAGTCAGCGGTGCGCTCAAAAAGCCGAGGCATTCCTGCCGCTGACGATCGCCGGAAGAGCTTAACAAGCGGCGGGAAAGCTGCCAAAGACGAGGGAGGAGGAGGAGGAGGAGGAGGAGGAGGAGGGAAGAAGGAGGGAGGAGAGAGAGGAGGAAACGAAGAGGGAGGGAGAGGCGGGAAACGAAGACGCGACCGCCGTTCCATTTCCGAAGATGGGAATCCCTTATTAGATGTTGACTCTGATCGTCGCCGTCGATCGTCCGAACAAATCAAAGGCCCCCCCCCGTTCGGGGTCAGTGAGTGGGAGAATTGCAGGCTGCAGCTCTGGATACACGACGAGCCTCCCCCAGCTTACCTTGGCTGGGACCAGGAAGTGGACAATTTGCCCGATGGTAAGTGGCCGGGCCCATCGTTGGTTCCTGCGTCAGATTATCATCGACGTAGGCTGTGGGCGCCTGGGGAGCCGGAGAAGGGAGAGGGAGGGAGAATGGGAACAAGGAGGGAGAGTAGGCGGTGTCCTGCATGCGGACGAAGGTTGTCCGTACGTCAGCCATCGCCGTCAATGACGTCAACGTCGGAGGCATCAAGGTCAAATGACAGAGATGCAAGTCGGGATGAGCGGAGAGAAGAAGATGAGGAGGACACGGAGGGGCAGGGGGGAGGACAAGGAGGCCCACAGAATGGAAAGGAACGGTCGAAGAAAGGAGAAGAGGATGGGAGAGAGAGGAGTAGTAAGAGGGAAGAGAGGGGGGAAGGGGGAGGAGGTACAAATTTCAAAGGAGAAGAGGATGGGAGAGAGAGGAGGAGTAGCAAGAGGGAAGAGAGGGGGGCAGGGGGAGGAGGAGGAGGAGGTAGGAAGGAAGTGAGACAGAAGAATGAGAAAGAAGAAAGAGATGGCAACTCAGAAATGGAGAGGGAGAGAGGGACGAAAGAAGGTTATGGACTGAGTAACGGTAAGCAAATGAGGAGGAGGAGGAGGAGGAGGAGTACGAGTGGAAGCAGGAGGAAGAGGGGGAGGAAGAGAGAGGAGAGGGAGGAGGATGGGGAGAAGAATGATGAGGAAATCGAAAGAGACGGTACGCTGGAGAAGGAGAAGGGAGAGTCGGCGAGTGGAGGCGGTGAGGAGAGCAGTAGTAGGAGCAGCAGCGGGAGGTGGAAAAGGGAGGGGCAGAAAAGCAAAGACGGACAGAAGCATGGACCAGAAGGAGGAGCAGATGGCTTTTTACAGAGGCAACAGAGAGTCTCGTTAAGGAGAGGAGACAGCAGCACAAGCAACAGTATGAGCGGACGCCTTAGGGGGGGAGGAGAGGGCAAGAAGAGGAGGAATAACAAAAACGACGGACGGAAGGATGGGGGAAAGAAGCAACTCCAAGAGAGAGAGAAGAGAAGGAAACGAGGAGGCGATGATAGGAGAGAGAGGGAGGAGGAGGGTGGGCGGAGCGCGCAGCAAGCATCTTCCAGGCAGAAAATGGATTCAAAAAGCGTTAGACACGTAACGTCGTCAGAGGGTGACAGCGATCATTACAGCAGTACGAGCAGAAGCAGGAGCAGTAGAGAGGAGGGGACAAAAGGAAAGGGGAGTAGAAAGAAAGACGGAGAGAAGGAGGCGGTGGGAGGAAAGCAACACCACTTCCCAGACAGTGAACTGGGAGAGGTGGTCAACGGAGGAGGAAGTGGTAGAAAGAAGAGGAGGGAGAGTGAGCAGAAGGACCGAGTTGGATATCATCACACGGATCAGACCGTTAGATATATCAAATCATCGAACGGTGATAAGGACAGCGCTACGCGGAGGAGCTGGACGAGGAGAGAGGAGGAGAAGAAGGGGGGAAGGAATAAGAAAGATGGGGAGGAGGAGGTGGTGGAAAAGGGAGCTCTGCACCAACCGGAGAGCAAGAAGGGAGAGAGGTCAAAAAGAGGAGGCGGGGTTAGCAGTAGGAGGAGGGAAAGCGAGCAGAAGCGTGGTCAGGTCGCGGATCGAACCCAGTCCATTCGGACGGACCGTGCTCATCATGATGACAACAACGTGGCAACAGCAACCGACGTGTCTTCTCCCTCTCCCTTTCCCTCTCTCGCTCCCTCTGCCTCCCCCTCTCCCTCTCTCTCTCTCTCTCTCTCTACCGCCCCCTCTCCCTCTCCTCCACTGCCGCCAGGGCCGCAGCATACGAATCGGACCTCGAAGCTGGGGAGGAAGAGATGGAGCCACAGGAATTCATCCGGGCAAGAGATCGCTGGCAGGTCATCAAGCCATACCACACACTCATCATCGTCGTCGTCGCACGAGGATCCTCCTCGTGGTCAGAGATCGCACGAGCGCCCTCCACGTGGACAAACGACAGCTCATCAGGATGATTATCACCGTCGCAGGCACTCAAAGAACAAGAGGATCGCCGACGAGCCTCAATCACAAGCGGCCAAGGAGAGGAACTGGAACCCGCGGGCGATGGATTCGAAATCTATCAGTTTGCAGCTGGCTGATGTCAAAGAGGTCGATAGACATCATGGCGATGGTGTCACTTCCACGCGAAAGGTGGGCCGCCATGGCAGTCGCTCCGGGAGTGCTTTGCCTGGAGCGGCTGCTGGAGCTCAAGCCTCTGCAAGAGCTTCTGCCTCTGCAGCTTTGCCCGCAGCCTCCTCGAACGGCCTTCATGATGATCGTCATCATCACGACGACAGACGTCACTCTGTCACGGGTGAAAGAAAGTGCTTTGCAACCTTGCACTGCACGCTGGAGAAGGGGGAGGAGGTGGTGGAGGAGGTGGTGGAGGAGGTGGTGGCGGAGGTAGTCGAGGAGGAGGAGGAGGAGGAGGAGGAGGAGGAGGAGGAGGAAGGGGGTAACTTGTGCAGAGATGAGGGCCATGCTAATGGAATGGATTGCTTTGGTACCGATGACGTCATCCATTTGACACATGCTGAAGCTGACGATGCTCAGCATCATCATCATGGTCTTGATGATCATCGTCATCATCCTTACAATAATCATAGTAGTATCAACGGTGGGAGCGAGGGGGATATCAGCAGCTGCGGGATTTGCTGCAGGAACGTGGGGGTCCAATCCACAACAACAACAACAGTAACGCCCAACCTCAAGATCGCCGCCATGCATGCAAACTCCACCTCCTCCATGGAAACTTCCACGATGGAACCTTCTTCCAACGGGTTGTCCTCGCGCCAGACTTACAAGCACCCACCTCATGCTGACGTGGCAATGAAACAGCGATGCGAGCTCTGCTCGTGGGAGGGAAATCGTCTGGCGTCAGCGCAGGACGATCGTTATCCCGCCGAAAGCCACTGCGACTGCGACTGCAGTGCCTGCTGTGAGGAGGAGGAGGAGGAGGCGGAGGAGGAGGAGGAGAACAATGCGAAATCGAATGGTCATCAGGAAGGCAACGGCGTGGTCGGGATCCCGACATTGGAACCTGAGGACTCCTTGCAGGCATTGCTAGATTTGGAAAAACTCGTGAACGAGCAGCACTCGGAGATGGTGCGTAGCAAGGTCATCTTGTCAGCTGGAGATAGTCATTTTGAGAGACTAAGTCCACCGGCCACTCGCAGTAGACGCAGTAGCGATCCCGCTGTGAAAAAGACGACGAAGGGATCCCGACGAGTTGATACCCTCTCCCAGCTTCTGCAACAAGCAATCAATGATCGATCGGATGAGCCGAAGAAAGAGGGGGTGATGCCACGTCAGCTCGGGCAAGCAGTAGTTGACTCGGGGGTAGGAGCTGGAACGAAGGGTGCTGGGAGTATGCCACGTCAGCAGGAATCTCTGGGCGCCACGTGGCTGGACGAGAATGACCGGTCTAGTTCGGATCAAGGAACCCAAGCGAGAGCAGGGAGCTGGAAGGAAGCATCGGCTCGTCTCGATCCCTTTGCAGGAGGAGGACCCGACGATCGTCTTTTGTCGTCGGCCAACGGCACAGCAAAACCCGCTGATGGTCTCGTGATGCCACATCAGCAGGTCATAGAGATACGTCAGCAGCTACACGAGCGTCATCGGCCACGTCATCAGGATGCCTATCATCGTGATGGGAACGGCGAAGTAACCGAAGTTTCGTGGAAAGAGCAGGGAGGCAGGGACCTGTTGGCGTTGTTGACCTCGATATCTCAGCTGACGACCAGTTCGGAGGATTTTACCAACCAAAGTCAAAGTCGAAGTCCAAGTCAACGCAGAGATATGGCCCGGGCAAAAGAATTGTCACTGTCCTGCGGCCAGTGCCATCACAAGAGAGAGGGAGCCCGTTGGGTTGGCAAATTACAGAGATCAACGGATCACGTCGACCAGAAACCCGGACACCCTAAATGTCTTTGCTCGAACGAGATGCTGAAGGTGCAGGTTGTCATGGCTCCCTCCTGACATTCAATAACCGTTGGACATAACACACCCCCACCGGACCCGACTGGTAGCTTGTATATATATATTTTTTTGCATTTTCAGCGTTATGCCTGGAAGGGATTTTGAAACACAAACCGTGACTGCGCCCTAGTTTTCCCTAACCTCTCTCTCTTTTTTTTCTCTTTTTTTTCCCCTAACCTCTTTCTTTTTTTTTTTTTTTTTTTTTTTTTTTGAAGCAACTTCCGGATTGGCGCTACCAGGCACCGCTAGCGCCGTCGGGAGGGCTCCATCTATTGGTGGGGAGCAGCACCTGCTGGAAAACGGGTCCAGCGTCCCTGTACATGGTAATCGTATAAATGAGCTGTCCAAAGTTTGTGAAGGGTGATAGTGTATGTGCTGAATCAAGTGTGTAGTGGTGAGCAGCATTGATTGTCTTTCTGAGAGGGGATTGAGTGCTAGAGCACACCGTGTCTATGCTGGAAAGTGGAAAGCGGGTCCAGCGTCCCATTGTCCTGTGGTCAACAAAACCTCCAAAGCAAACGATCCAGCAGTAACGCTTGGGCGTGGCGTCCATCCTGGCGTTCATCCGGGCTCCTACCTGGCCCGAACGAAGAGTCATTCTCTGTCAGATCCTGATCCGAAACCTGTGCGAGGACAGCCGTATTTGTCTATGCTGGACAGCGGGTCCAGCGTCCCATTGTCGTGTACAAAGCCTCCCAAGCGAACACTCCAACAGTAGCACTTGGGCGTGGCGTTCTCCTGACGTTCATTCTCGAAACCACTTATGGCTCAAGCATCAATGAGGCAGCAGCAAAAAATGAAAAGGGTTTTTTTTGGGGGGGGGAGGGGTGCATCAGTAAAACACCATCAGGCACCAAGAGATGAACAGGGGGCTACTTATGGTTCAGGCATGAATGAGGGCCTCGTTCAACACCACTTGAACTCAAGGGTTTAAGGAAAATTCTTCGTTCGACCCCACCCTAACTTCGCCGCGCGGAGTTGTATCTACTTTCCGGCTCTCAAGTGCCTGCCCTCGAAACTCAAGTGCAGCTGGGGCAAAATGGCACTTGAAGTCAAGGTACATCTCTGGGGAGCCTTGAGTTCAAGTGCCAGCGGCCAGCACTCCAAGTGGCGCTTTTCTTTTGATTTTCTTTTTTCCCAGCAGGCAATCCTGGTCCAGGCAGGATTGGTCAAGCCGTGGGGTTCGGTTTCAAGTGTAGAGATCCTGTTCAAGGGTTTCCTCAAGTGTACATGGAACCATAAATAGAGTAAAAGTGTAAATCAATCACAAGTTCGCGTTCAGTGTGCACTTGAAACTCAAGTATTTTCAACTGGTGTCTAACAAGGCTCTGACGCAGCAGCAACAGATGAAAAGGGGGTCGCCGTAAACGATCATGGGGCATCAACAGGTGAAAAGGCGGTCGCCATAAAATATCATGGGTCATCAACAGATGAAAAGGGGGGTGTACGGGGGAGGTGGGGGGCCCATCACGTAAAAGAACCACTTAGAACAAAGAAAAGCAAAGTGGAAAAAAAGGCCCCCCACCTCCCCTGTACAACCCCCTTTTCATCTCTTGATGAGTACAGCCGAGTAGCTCAGTGGGTAGGGCACCCGTTGGAAATGTGCATTGTGGTATAAGGTTGGGGGCTCAAAACTCAGTTGCAGGCTCGCGCACTTCCGCCGGCGGGCGTTGACCAACGTGCAGCTGTACACACTGTCCTCTGGGCGCTGCATGGTTATGAATACAGACCCTGCCTGCATTGTGGTATGAGGTTGGGGGCTGAANTTGACCAACGTGCAGCTGTACACACTGTCCTCTGGGCGCTGCATGGTTATGAATACAGACCCTGCCTGCATTGTGGTATGAGGTTGGGGGCTGAAAAATCAATTGCAGCCTCACGCACTTCCACCTTGACCAACGTGCAGCTGTACACACTGTCCTCTGGGCGCTGCATGGTTATGAATACAGACCCTGCCTGCATCGATCAGGGGACTTAGTTCAGGTTGTTGTATGCTGGGTCTAGAATATGGGCCTCGCTCCACTAGACAACACTCTACATGCATTTGGACGCTTGCTGGACCAGAGTCATTCAAAATGCTGGACTCGTCCAAATGCACATAGCCAGGAAAGCATCCAAATGCATGTAGAGTGTTGTGTAGTGGAGCGACGGCCTTTGTGTGGGTTGCTTGATGTGGTCATTGATTGTTCTGATATTCTTCCCTGTTCTGGCATATCATACATTGGCATCAATTCAGAGTGTAGCACATATGGTATGGCACTGCTGTTTCTCTAGTGTCCATTGGTGAGCTGGTACTCAGTCGACGCTGGCCGGAGCCGGGGCGGGTCGCTTTGCCCTGTAGCCTACCGGTAGCAGGTGGGGGGGTTCTGGGGTGGGTCGCGCCATTCTGTAACCTAGCATTTGGGGGTGTGAGGCTTGGTAGAGATTCAGTATCGGGACATAGGGGGGAGGTAGATGAGGTTGGGCTGCTGAAAGCATTATGGCAGGTGTTTTTTTTCGGTCTGGATGCTCCTATGATCTAAGGTCTGTTGGTGGTTCATGTTCTGGGGACTTCTAACAACTCATGTTAGACGATCCATTGCTGATATACTCAGTGATCTGCGGTGGTCCGATGCCAGAACGACGCTGGCCGTTGCTGGGGTGTTGCCCTGTAACCTGCTGATGCAGGAGTGTGCGGCCTGGTAGAGAGATCTGGGGATGCTTTGGGGTGGGGATTCCAAGGGACAACCAAGGGTTGCTGCTGTGATGACGCTGGTCAGAGCTGGGGTGAGTCGTGTTGCCCTGTAACCCAGCAGGGTGGGGGTGTGAGACCTCGAAGAGCTCAGCAGGGATTAGGATAGTGTTGGAAAGCTTTAGATGTGTTGCTAGGGATTCATAGATTTTTTAGTATTCATAGGACCTCAGTGGTGGCGCATTTTGTTATAACAGACCGCTTCTCAGAAGTTTTGTCATAGTCATTTTCTGTATCCTAAACGTTCAAATCTTTCAAAATCAAATCCGAAGCCGGGTACGGCCCCAGGATTTCAAAATGAGGCTGAGGGAGAAGAAGATGGTGGGGTATCACGCATCCTACTAGTGAGTGGGCTAGCTGGTAGGATGGGAATAGGGCACAGCAGCAGTGGAGATGGTGGCTTTGTTGCAGTAAGTCTTGCTGGAGTGGGGTGCAGGGGATTGATTGGGGGAGTCTGAGTTTTTTTCTGAAGTGGGTATATGTTTTTGCTTCTCAAAAAAGAGGTGAATGGGAGAAATAGAGGGTGGGATATCAAGCGTCCTACTAAGTGAGGGGGCTAGCTTGTAGGATGGCAATAGGGTACAGCAGCAGCGGAGATGGTGGCTCTGCTGTAGTAAGTCTTGCCGGAGTGAGGAAATGGGAATTGATGGGGTTTTTTTTGAGTTGTCTGAATTTCGCAGTAGTAGCTCTCTAATTAGTTCTAATTTTTCGTAGCCAAGCCGGGTAATGGTCCCGGTATCTCAAACTTTCAAAATTCCATGTAAATTTCCATATGGGACGCTGGCCCGGTTCCCAGCACGTGTTGCTCCCCACGAATAGATTGGAGCTTTGTTCCCATTAAAAAAAAAAATAAAAAAATAAAAAATAACGAAGGGCATGGGTTCGAGTCTGCGTAGAGACTTTGGGGGGGTTGCTCTTGCACAGATAGGCCCGCCATTCATATAACAGTATAACTCTATGCATACGGAACTCAACGGGGGCTTGGTGAGGGTCCACAATACAACTGGGGCTGGCAGGGGGGCTCAAGGCTTCGCTGTAGCACATATGGTACTATGGCACCCCCTGCAAGTCCGTAAAGTGGGCTCTAAGGGGTGTGGAGTTTGATGGTGGCCCTGGTTGAATGATTCAAAACTCCCCTTACTAAAATCCGGGGCTATATTCAGCCCATGTGGCTGGCTGGAAAGAGACGTGAGGTAAGATCCTGATGCCGAAGTGACCAAGATAATTCTGGAAATTTCTGAATTATCTGGAATCAATCGTTCATTTTTTTTTATTTTTTTTTTCCCCAAGGCTAAATCTTTTAAGCCTAACCAATTCAATTGCCTGTTGACTTCGGACAGGACGGCATTTCGGTCCTTCTTTATTATAACGGAAGAAAACTAGGGTGCAGTCAAGCTTTCCAGTTTTAAATGCGTTTCAGTTAGGGCGAGGGAAATTGTGAATGTATCCAACCAGCTTTAGGGTTGGGTGGGGATGTGATGTATTCGAGGGATGCTTGAAGTGGATCTAGAACTGAAAACGTGACTGCCCCGTAGTTACCTCTTATAGTATTACGGGGAACCCGATAGCAGCCACATCCATGCCCAAGCCTCCAATGAGGAAGCATGCGGGAGCTGCACCCACCAGCTGGTGCAATTCCTGCTACAGCAGGTGGGCGATGTCGGTCAGGGATCAGCCGGGTAGCATCTGGACCGAGCTACCCTCCGGTCCCCCGACCGGCATTGAGCAGAGACTGCTGATATTCATAGGCAGGGGGAGGTGAATCAGGTGATCCCTCGTTCGATGATGACACCTCACGGCCATCCCCCTTTTTAAAAATTGGAAAAAAAAAAAAGGAAGACGGCCACTTATGGTTATGCCTCCGCCACGTCCCCCTTTTTTCCTGATAAAACAGAAAAGAAACAGCCTTTTTTTTTTTGTGAGACTTGCTAATGACAGGTGTGCTTGGCACTGGACTCCCTTCGTATTCTCGTCAAAAAAAAGAGAAAAAGAAGAAACTTATGGGGATATCATGGCAGTTGGGGTTTCCTGATACTCGTTGCTTTCATGACCTGAAATTATTTTGGAAAACGAAAGATCTTTGCCATTGTGGCATAGTTCCTACGCTTGTTTCAACTGCCCACCAGAGACCGTATCATCACGATTCATCAGTGGACACAGAGCGCGATTGGAAAATTACCAAATTCTTTTTACTCTGGAAAACGGAGCCTAAATTGCTGCCATTGGAGAGCCCCCTACACTGCACAACCCCCCCCAAAGAAACGGTACTTATGCTGTTTTCAGGGTTTCGGAGCCTTGGTTGGGTTTTCCGCCTGGGTCAAGATACTGATCATCAGTAACAAAATTAACCTGGGTCAAGATACTGACCATCAGTAACAAAGATCGACGGAGAAATTCTTTTAATCCGTGAAAGCCAGACCTCTCCCCATTGGGGTATAGGTCCAGTGTAGTGCCTTTTCTGGGGTGGACATGGTGCTTCAAAGTCCTCCCAAATTTTCCTTCTTGTCTTTTCCCTGTTTGACAATTTCTAAGACAAATTTCTTAAGCAATCCATTTGACGAATCTTTTTGTCGAATTTGTTTGACGAAATGAATTTGTTCCTACTCTATACTTTGTTTGAGAAATTTGTTAGACGAATTCTTTTGGCAGCGAGTTTGTTAGACAGCCTGAGGTTCGTCTCTAAGGGTTACTGGGTGCTCCAGAATAGATTAGAGCAATGACTTTAGCCTCACTTTTTGATCTGCTCGGCTGTATTAAAGGGACGCTGGACCCGGTTTCCAGCAGGTGC